GATTCCTCATACCAGAATCCCTCAAAACAGGAAGCCCTGGAACAGGGAAGCAGGGACTGCCGAGGAACCCTCCAGTCCAGCCCGCAGGAGCAGACGCCGCGGACTCTGGGTGGGCAGGGTGCCCGAGTCACACCGGAACTGGACAACAGTTAACTCTGCAAGGAAGTGCAAGTGTTTGCTGTCTGCATCAGCGAAAGGGGAAACGCTTGGAAAAATTAACAGCGCATGTTTTTACAGTAAAGGCAACAAATACCTTTTCTTCCATAGACAGTTGAAATGTGAAAAAATTAAAAAATTGGTTCTTAATTTAAGAAAATTGTCAAAGAATAACAGTTTGGTCAACTATGTGAACACAAAACGTCTCTTGCCCGCTCTACCATGAACTTTGTGGTTAACTAAGACAGAGACTTAGGTGTCATTTTCTAAGTATCTGAAACCCTATCACTGCGCATTGTGTTTTTATGATTTGCCTTGGACCAGATGAACCGAGTCCCAGGCTCAGCTCTTACTTTCTCTCCAAGCTTTAGATCCCAGCTAGAAATTTTATGTGAACAAATGGATTCTGATGAACTTTTATGGCCCTGCTTGCTTTTCGGCACCGAGAGAGCTTGCAGCCCAGCCGGTCACTCACGGAAGCGCGGTGGGCACGAGTCGCTTCCGTTCGTCCCGTCTGCATCGCCGTGTGCACCCGGACCGACTCGTAAATGGAAGGTTCTTCACTTCTCTTGGTAGGGATGTTTCAGAACAATCAGAGTGCCTGAATGAAGACAAACATGGATAATCGAACGGTGTCCCAGAAGGAAGGTCCAGTCGCTAACAGAGAACTGTGGAGATTGTAAAGTCTCCGGTTTTTTCTCGTATTCACTCACTCATCTTCCCAAGTTGCCGAGCGCCAGCTGTGTGCAGGCACTTCAGCTGGACACCGAGCCACAAAGCACGGCACAGGGTCTCCGGCCTCCCGGTGCTCAGCCTGTTAGCAAATACGGTCACCTGGCAGGTCAGGGAGACCACGCAGCAACGATGCCAGCACCAAGAGCCCTGGAAACCTTTCTCTGGAATGATCTAGAAACCCTTCCATAGAGGAGGTGATGTTTGATTTAGACCTTAAGCAGAAACTGAGTTTTCCAGAAGGACAAAAGCCATGAAAACACAAGTAAACAGAAGCACACGGGAGGGTCTATTCGGTAGCCCTGAGTTCTTTTTCTGGTTCAGAACAAACTTGGAACAAATCAGTGATCACAAAAAAGCGGACTCACAGCATTCTCTCCAGCCTCTGTCACCTAATTAACAAATAAAGTAAGTGACTGTGATCTGACCAGGCCGGAGCTCGCGTGTGATCGCCTCACTTGCATCTAGAAGAGGGGCGGGCAGGTAAAGGGCTCGCCCAGGGGCCAGGGTCTTGGAGCTTCACCCAGGCCTTGGAGCGGCTCTGACTCAGCACTTCGACCGGTTTCCGCATCTTTTCCCCTGTCAACCAGAAACTAGAGACAACGGCTATAACAAAAGCAACTTAAGGTTTTTCTCCTTGTTAGCTTCTAGCTTTTTTTTTTTTTTTTTTTTTTTTTTCCAGGATCTGGCTGGGCATTACCTCAATAATCTTGTCTTCCACCACTTTCCCTCTAGCTCACCCTGACCCCCTTTCTGGCCTTCGAGACACCTGAGTTTAGTTCCCACCTCGGGGTTCCTGTGCTACTTTCTCTGCCTGCAGACTTTCCCACATCTTGACATGACTCGCTCCTTCCCGTCAGCGAAGTCTCTGATCAGATGTTACTCCTGCCCTGCTTCCCTCCTTGCCTCGTAGTCTACTTTTGTGTTTATGACTTATTACTATCTGATATCATGTTATTAATGACATTGATTATTGTCTGTGACCCCCCACTAGACTGTGAGCTCAGGGAGGGCAGAGCCTTTGCCTAATTTACTGCCAAACTCCCAGTGCTTAAAAACAATGCTGATTGCAGCATAGGCACTTTTTTTAAAAGTTTATATAATAAATTAGTTGGGGTGGACATGGTGGCTCACACCTGTAATCCTAGCCATTTCAGGAGGCTGAGGGGGGAGGATCGCTTGAGGCCAGGAGTTTGAGACCAATCTGGGCAACATAGTGAGACCGACCACATCTCTACAAAAATAAAAATAAAACAATTAGGCAGGCGTGGTGGTGCACACGAGCCTAGGGGTATGGGGTTGCAGCGAGCCTCGAATGTGTCCCTGCCGTCTAGCCCGGGTGACAGAGTGAGGCCCTATCTCAAAAGAAATAAATGTAATCCTGTCTCAGGAACTCAATGCTGTGTTGCTCATACAACATATAAATGGTAATTCCCCAAAACGTAGTTGCCAAAGAATGGCAAACAGTTTTGCACAACCCTCTGCATTTCTGGGCAATGGGGCATCTTTCATTTTCGCTTCAAGTAAGAAGTGCTGTTAATTCTCTTCCTCCGTTGCTGGAGCTTGTGCAAGAACCGCGGCCCAAACAGAGAAAGCAGAAGTCGGAGACCCGCAGAGCTCTCAGGTCAGAGACGGGGTGCCCAGCGTGTGGCCACGCGGGGTAACAAGTGAAGTTGGAGTGTCCGGACAGGGACGAGGGCATTCCGACCAGACCAGAACTTTCCCCAGGCACGGTGACCAGCCATCAGTGATCCCACAGTGAGAAGCAATGAGAGGCATTCAGACCCACTAGAAGGCCTTCAGAGTTGCTTTTTTTTTTTTCTTTTCCATAGTGATGCACAGTGAACTTCGTGGGCTTCTCATCATGCAGTGCGAGCACAGCTGTTCTCAACCAGCCTCTTGCCACCCTTGCAAATGCGCCATTACCTGGAACCCTTCTATGCGCGTCACGTTTAGATACCTGGGCAGGTGAATCCATACGGTGCCTGGCGTGAGCGAAGAAGGCGAATGGCAAGCCTTCCAGGGTGTGATCCAGAGGGGCCTGTTTCTGCCAGCGTGAGCTGTCCCTATGCTCTCGCCAACCCACACGTTAGGGATCATCTGCATTTTACTACTGATAAAGGACACACTTAGAAGGATATGGCTTGACTGTCCCTCAATAGAGACCTGTAGGGGAAGTTCAACCGAGGAGAATGTGAGGGTAAACTGAGAGCACGAATGAAAGAGATGTTGAAGTGACTGGTGGCAGATTAAGGACAGATAAAGAGGAAAATATGAAGGCACTGGTCAACTGGAAAACGAGAATTGGAGGGTAGGTCTTGATGTGTTCTTGGGCCTTTTCTGACTTTGGACTATTTATCGTCTTGCTTTCCAAAATTTCTCAAGTGCAGAGGTCTGAGTGTCTTCCTCCAACTCTAACAAAGCCAAAGTATCTTTCTCAGTCAATTTCCAGGATTTTTACTTTTTTTTAATTTTACTTTATTTTTTTAGAGACACGGTATTGCTCTGTCACTGAGACACAGTCATAGCTCACTGTAACCTCCAACTCCTGGGCTCAAGGGATCCTCCTGCCTCGGCCTCCTGAGTAGCTGGGACTACAGTTGTGCAATACCACACACAGCTAATATGTGTGTGTGTGTGTGTGTGTGTGTGTGTGTGTATTTAGAGATACGGTCTTGCTATGTTGCTCAGGCTAGCCTCAAACTCTTGGCTTCAAGTAATCCTCCCACCTCAGCCTCCCAAAGGGCTGGGATTATAGGTGTGAACCACTATGCCTGGCCGAGGATTTTTATTTTTAGGGAAAGGTAGCATAGCAACAAAAATGCAAGATATGCCATGACCCAGGCCTGGCTACAGGCCACAAAGACAAGCAGTGATTCCTGTCTTCAGAAGTGTCGTGTTGGGGCGGAGGGAAGACAGGTGTGCAGGCAATCAGCCTGCGGCACGAGAGCTCTAGGATAAAGGCAGACAGAGCGTGCTCTGGAGCACAGAGGAGGGGCGTTCAGAAAGAAGCCAGGGGCCGAGGGGGGCCTCCTGGAACATCCTGAGCCCTGGCGCTGGACCTGAGGGACGAGTGACAGTAATGGTGCCGAAAGCGCACGTCCGGAGAAACGCACACCGTCGAGACAGGCTGCCCAGCGCGAGTGTGGAGCAGCCCGAGATGAGGCCAGAGAGGCACGCAGGGCCCGGGTGGGCCACGGACACCATGGGCACCACCAGGGCACGTTCAGCAGGGAGCCCACGTGGTAAATGTGCTTTTAAAGAAAGATCTCTCTGGTGGCAGGTAGGAAAAAGTACTGCTGAGACAGAAAGGTCGCACTCATGTGAATATAGTTTGTGGCTCGGTATTGTCAGCTGACTATTTTTCGAGAGTGATGGTGGCTCTCTAGATGATTTCTTGACATTTCATTTGGGTAGTGTCCTCTTGATCCTCTGCGCAAATCCAGATTCCTCATACCAGAATCCCTCAAACAGGGAAGGGGCCCTGGGAACAGGGAAGGGGCCCTGGGAACAGGGAAGCAGGGGACTGCCGAGGAACCCTCCAGTCCCAGCCCGCAGAGCAGACGCCGCGGGACTCTGGGTGGGCAGGGTGCCCGAGTCGCACCGGAACTGGACAACAGTTAACGCTGCAAGGAATGCAAGTGTTTGCTGTCTGCATCAGCGAAAGGGGGAAACGCTTGGAAAAATTAACAGCGCATGTTTTTACAGTAAAGGCAACAAATACCTTTTCTTCCATAGACAGTTGAAATGTGAAAAAATTAAAAAAATTGGTTTCTTCATTTAAGAAAATTGTCAAAGAATAACAGTTTGGTCAACTATGTGAACACAAACGTCTCTTGCCCGCTCTACCATGAACTTGTGTGGTTAACTAAGGACAGAGACTCAGGTGTCATTTTCTAAGTATCTGAAACCCTATCACTGTCGCATTGTGTTTTTTATGATTTGCCTTGGACCAGATGAACCGAGTCCCAGGCTCAGCTCTTACGTTTCTCTCCAAGTTTTAGATCCCAAGCTAGAAATTTTATGTGAACAAATGGATTCTCATGAACTTTTATGGCCCCTGCTTGCTTTTCGGCACCGAGAGAGCTTGCAGCCCAGCCGGGGTCACTCACGGAAGGCGCGGTGGGCACGAGGTCGCTTTCCGTTCGTCCCGTCTGCATCGCCGTGTGCACCCGGACCGACTCGTAAATGGAAGGTTCTTCCACTTCTCTTGGGTAGGGATGTTTCAGAACAATCAGAGTGCCTGAATGAAGACAAAACATGGATAATCGAATGGTGTCCCCAGAAGGAAGGTCCAGTCGCTAACCAGAGAACTGTGGAGATTGTAAAGTCTCCGGTTTTTTCTCGTATTCACTCACTCATCTTCCCAAGTTGCCCAGCGCCCCCTGTGTGCCAGGCACTTCAGCTGGACACCGAGCCACAAAGCACGGCACAGGCGTCTCCGGCCTCCCGGTGCTCAGCCCTGTAGCAAATACGGTCACCTGGCAGGTCAGGGAGACCCACGCAGCAACGATGCCAGCACCAAGAGGCCCTGGAGAACCTTTCTCTGGAATGATCTAGAAACCCTTCCATAGAGGAGGTGATGTTTGATTTAGACCTTAAGCAGAAACTGGAAGTTTTCCAGAAGGACAAAAGCCATGAAAACACAAGTAAACAGAAGCAACAGGGAGGGTCTATTCGGTAGCCCTGAGTTCTTTTTCTGGTTCAGAACAAACTTGGAACAAATCAGTGATCACAAAAAAGCGGACTCACAGCATTCTCTCCAGCCTCTGTCACCTAATTAACAAATAAAGTAAGTGACTGTGATCTGACCAGGCCGGAGCTCGCGTGTGATCGCCTCACTTGCATCTAGAAGAGGGGCCGGGCAGGTAAAGGGCTCTGCCCAGGGGCCCGGGGTCTTGGGAGCTTCACCCAGGGCCTTGGAGCGGCTCTGACTCAGCACTTCTGACCGGTTTCCGCATCTTTCCCCTGTCAACCAGAAACTAGAGACAACGGCTATAACAAAAGCAACTTAAGGGTTTTTTCTCCCTTGTTATGGCTTCTAGCTTTTTTTTTTTTTTTTTTTTTTTTTTTTTTTGAGACAGAGTCTCACTTTGTTGCCCAGGCTAGAGTGAGTGCCGTGGTGTCAGCCTAGCTCACAGCAACCTCAAACTCCTGGGCTCAAGTGATCCTCCTGTCTCAGCCTCCCGAGTAGCTGGGACTACAGGCATGCGCCACCATGCCCAGCTATTTTCATATATATTAGTTGCAATTAATTTGTTTCTATTTATGGTAGAGACGGGGGTCTCACTCTTGCTCAGGGTGGTTTCGAACTCCTGACCTTGAGCAATCCGCCCGCCTCGGCCTCCCAGAGTGCTAGGATTACAGGCGTGAGCCACCTCGCCCGGCGGGCTTCTAGCTTTTATTTCACTAGAGTCGTTTCTACGGCAGGTGCAGGAGGGCACTAGACATAGGGAAGGTATGGGGGATTCAGCAAGTCATTCAACAAACATTTGCCGAGCCAGGCACTTGCCCCGGCACTGGGAACACAGCAGCCAAGGAAGGAGACACAGCACCTGCCATGGTGTCTTAGATGTGAGGGGTGTCGCAAAACGAATGGAGCAGGGTGAGGGGAAGAGGGTAAGGAGGGCAGGGTTGGGAGAGGCTGATGTCTACACGGACTGGGGGGCAGTTTGGAAAGATGATTGGTCGGGACAGACCCTGAACTGGAGTAAGAGAGAGAAGATGGAAAAGGAAAAATACCTCCTCTGTTAAATGAACAAAACATAAACCTACTGTTAATGACACGTCTACACAATACAAAACCCTTCTGGGAGACCGTTTTCTCGTCAAAGCGATCCTTCCCTGGGAACAGGTCCAGCCGTGGGGGGAGAAGCGGCCAGTCACCCTGTCACAGCAGGAGGGGAAAGGCGGGGCACCTCGCCCGCAGCAGGCGCCGGGCTGTGGGGAGTCTGGCCTGGCTCCTAAGTGACCCGCCCCAGAGGGACACCCTCCGTGGTGTGCCCGCGGCCACCCGCCTCGCGGCAAGAGCACAGGACACGCAGGCAGGGACAGCCACCAGCTTCCCTTCCTGCCCTGACTGGTGAGGCGGGCCACGCTTCCTTCCCGAGACTGTGCTTAGCACCAGATGAGCGTTTGTAGAATGGCTGTAAAATGTTAGGTGTCGTTATTCTCTGACACAGAGTGTCTTTAAATCCTTAAATAAAATTCCAATGATTGCAATCTTTGCAAACGTGGATTTTAAAATGTCAAGCTAAAAAAGACCTGCATGCGACATTCTGCTAGCAGTGGAAGGGGGTAGCTGGTCAGCCCGGCCTGCGGTTCTGAATTAGAAACATTTTGAAATCTTGTGCTTTAGCTTCAAAGTTAATGCTAGATTTTCATTCTATGCCATACACTTGATGAAAGCAACGCTTTAAATGATACTCTAGAAAGAAGCTGACACGACTAGGCACACTCGTTCCTAGCACACTCCTACCAGTGTCAGTTTCCTGTTGCCATTGCAGCCAATCGCCACCAAATGTATTATCTTACAATTCTGAGACGAACCAGCCTCCCAGACCCACCGCTACCCTGGCCTGGGGCAAGACAGGACAACAACTCCAGGCGCGGTTCTTCAAATCTCTGTTGGGAGGACCCGAATTCTATTTCAAAAACCTGCTGAGTAAAGTTGAACCCAGCAAAAGCTAAATGCAGGGAAATGGTGCTCAGTGAACCAGGAGGGCAGAATTGATCGCAGGCTGATTTTAACCAGTAAGACCATGAATGAGGCCAAACTGAATGGTGGGATGACCAAAACGACAACCTACTGATAAAGTGGTACGTTCCACTGGTAAAAATCTGGTGTCCTAAAAGATGATCCCTTTAGCTGGGCATTCTTGACCAAAGAAGAGCCAGTATGTAGACTTCTTGGCGTGGCTGTGGGGCTTACAGTCGGGTTCCCCGCTATAGAGATTGTCCCATCCCAGTACGTAGAGATAGGGCCCACCATGTGTGGCATCACATGGCCCTGCCCATCCCCCAAACACCTAACCTGGGCCACACTCCCTGGATTAACTTGCTGGGGGTCCACCTGGTCCCTTCTCTGGAGAGAAGGTCCAGCAACTTCACTTTTGAACTAGATGAAGCAGACTGTTGTTTCTTGCCTTCAACTTCCTCGCCTGGTTTCAGAAACGCTGGGTGGAGGTGCATTTTTCAAATGATGAGAGCTGAACCGAGACGAGCACTTTGGGTGCCTGGAAGCCACTGAAAGCTGCTGTGATCACCAGGCTGACTTGCTTATAGTTTCCTGGTGGTTGAACTTGCCCTTGAATTCCAAGAGGGTAGATTAATATCCTCCTAAAACTTCCACTCTTCTCCTTGTAGCCTACTCCCCCACCTTTTAAAAAAAATTCGGCTAGCTACAGTTGATTTCACTTATTTGCAATCAAAAGAAATGTATCTAATGTAGCCAACACACACTCATATACTTTCCATCCAAGGTCCAAGATAGTGTCTCAGCTCCGTAGGAAAGGAACTCTGGGTGAGTGATACCGAGACCAAATGAACCCCGGGACGCGGGTGGAAGATTCAGATAAAAGGCAACAGGGGCAGCGGGTGGCAGAGGACGAAAGGGAAGGAAGATCAGTAACCACAGGCCTTGGAGACTTGGCTGCGAGTTTCACTTCAGCTTCTGAGCTACATAAAGGTGATTGTTGTTTCCTGCCTTTGACACGAAACCTCGCTGCAGACATGCTTGGTGCAGGTGCACCCTGGAGATGATCAGAGCTGCACCCAGGCAGGCATCCAACTTGCTTTGCCTGCGAGGTAACTCAAAGTCCTGGAAGAGTTACATCTGTAACTCTGCGTGCAATAGCACGAGATTGCATTTCTCGTATTCCAGCAGGAATTCCGAAAATGGGTAATTTCAGTCTCAAGTCTCAGGCGTGGTGAGGCATCTGAAATAGAGTGTAGTGTAGACCACAGATGTCTCCTCCAGGGAAACTTTTGTTTAGGAATATTTCGTTTATGCACTAAGGCCAGTGCCTACTGAAAAGGCACCCCAGCTCCACCGTAAGGTGTTTGAGGGCAAGAATGAGATCTGATTTATCTCTGGATGCAATCAGTGGCTAACAGAGCCATCTCACACTTATCACTCAATACATATCTGTTGAATTAAATTAAAATCAGATTACATCCATCCATGTTTCATTACCACGCTCAGGTTCAGAAAACAAGTTTTGCAAGTGGCATGACAGGTTTCTCTGTCTCCTCCTGCCAATGCCAGTGGATTTCTAAGGTGCGGTTTAGAGGGATATTCAAGATCATTTTCCTTTCTTTTTTGCCACCTGCTCTGCAAATGGACTTTAACCCACATTCCTTTACCTGTGAAGGAGCTTTAATGTTCGATATCCAGTCTTATGGGGAGAAATGCACTGAGCTAGGAGAAGTGGAGAGATTACTCAGGGCACGAGAAGATTCTGTTCAAATAGCCAGGTCAAGAATCACTCCAGATGTCTCACATGCTTCATCTCATCCCGTCTTCACAACAGGTCCGTCAAGTATGAACTCTCACCATGAGATCAGTTTTATAAAGTGGTGAAACTGAAGCTCAGGAATGTCACATAACTTGCCGGAGGACACACAGCTGGCAGATGGCAGAGGATGGAGTTGAAACCGAGAATTCATGTGTTTACTCATTATAGCATAATGGTTCTCAGCCTTGGCGTAGTCACCATGGAAACTTCTATGGCATGGGAAATGTGTACTCCATCGCAGGCAGGAATTCACACGTACGAACCAAAGTTTGAAGAAATGGCTTCTTCAGGAGGCAGCTTGAGGAAGGGAGATGTGAGTTTTTGCTTCAACATTTCTCACCAGGCCTCAGTTTCTTCATTTGTAAAGGAGAAATTAAATCGTCCCTCAGCTCCTCCCAACTTTAACATCCTATCAATCTAGTTAAACACACAGGCCCAAATGGAGGGGGAAACATCATCGAGAGGCCTGGTGACCAAATGCATATGCTGCTTCCTGTAAACGCACAGTAGTCACTTGAAATACTCTGTTCCTGGTGCCATGTTCCCTCCGCCACTCATCTCCCCTTCCTTCCACTCTCTAAAACTGCAAGTGTACTTTTTCCTTATTGTATTTAGATAGGCTGTTCGATATCCTTGTTGGAGAGACACGAATAAGATGGGCTTAAGTGTTTGGGGGATGTTTTCCAGTCAGCCTTTTTATGTTTTAAGATTTCCTCTCGTATAATTTCTTAAATGGCAATTCATGAAAATAAAATAAAATAGCAATAAATACAAAGGTGGAAATTCAAATCAATTCACATCCTTTAGAACAAGAGGTCTCTATCACACACCAAACACATTATTTTAGACTTTAAAGAGGAGATTGTGGAACAGGACTAAGACATGTGTCATAGTCCTGCCACGTTCTACACACCTCTATTACGTTATTGTCATGGAGAGTCTTCCCATCCAAACCCATTTAAGGCCATGCTGTGCTGTGACAATATTGTATCGCAGTGTCACTGTGGGACTGGCATCAGAGACAGCAAAGTGCTCAGAAAGCGTTTCTGCTTTAGGACCACGTTAGCCCAGGTTCCCACCTCAGCCCTGACACTTCCTGGCTGTCCAACCTTGAGCAAGTAACTTAAAATTTCTGAGTTTTTATGTCCTCATCTGAAAATGGGACCACTGTCTACATTGTTGTGGTGGTTGAGAAGATTAAATGTGATGTAGGTGAAAACATCTAGCAGAATGCCTAGAACTTAGTGAGCACTCCACCAATGTTGGCTTCATTCCCTTCCTGGCCTGCTTTTTGCTTTTTCAAACACACTTCATCTACAAACTAAGAAAATGTTTATTTTTGGCAAACGTAAATTAAAGAAGTGATTCCTGGTTGTGGTTTGGCAAAATCCAAGTTGTCACTCATTATTTTCAGAAGTATCAGACAGTTCTCAAATGAAAATGTTTTAACTTCATTATTTTAAAATGCCACCTGCGTAAAAAGGCTAATGTCACATAATAAAATAATAATAGTTGTAGTGGTTATCAAAAGGTTGGGAATCCCCATATTAAAACAAAAAGAGAAACGGACATTTGACATTTGCCAAAGACCCAGATAAGATCTTCAAAACTGAGAACCAATTATTATAAAGGGTAGGCACAAATGCAACGCTGGACTTGTATTATATTTTCTCATGACAGTGATTAAGGTCCCAACACAGTATAATAAATTGTACATGGCAATTTCACATTAAGAAATATTGAAATATAAACAAAAAGTGATGGGAAGGGTAATTTTTGTTCTAATAATATTTGGACATTTAAGTATAAAGATAAATACTGTCTACATTTTCAAGACCATATACACAAAACTTAGCTACTTATAAGAGGATATGATAAAAATTAATAATGGACCAAACATATTCATTATAATAAAACATTTCTCAAATTTTCAAGTCTATTTGAATGAGTTTAGAAGTCATGTACAAACATGAATATAAATTTTATATATAACATCTTACTATTAACAAATGAAAGGCAAATTCTGAATGCCATCATCATTGTGCATACATGCAACACAAAATGTCATTGCAAACTACGCTTTGTACCCACTCGGGAAGTTGAAATCGTCATAAGTTTGTCAGTTGTAATGTCACCAGAAAACTGCAATGCAGGCTTTGGTGATGCCATGCCCAGCGTGACATAGCACAGACACGATTAGCATTTAGTTTTTCAGGTTCTGGGACATAGCAGGAAACAACAGTGACAAAAATCTCTCTCATAGAGTTTACACACTACTGTGGAAAGAGGAAAATATGTTTAAAAATGAGTGAAATATATAGTATGTCAGAAGGTGACAGGGCTATTGAGAAAAACAACCCAAGTGAGTACATTGTGTATGTCTATTACGGACTTGGGAAATTATTTGGTTTCGACAATTGGAAGTGTCTTAAAAGTGTTTATGGGTATGACTCAACAGAAATTAGAGTGAACAGAGCCTTTAATGGATAGTAGAGAGTTGAAATGCGGATTATTACAAGGGAAAGTAGAAATTATAATAATAGACTCAAAGTTGGCAGGAGGCTTAGATCTTGTTTAGAAACCCTTGTTCTTTAGATTAAGAAACAGAAATCCTGAGAGTTGGAAGAATAGAGGATAGAAATAGAACAGTAAAAAAGGTATCTTAAAGTAGTATTCATCCCTTTAGGTCAATACTTTCACCCGTCCGGAGTGCAAAGATTTTCTTATAACCCAGAATCCAGTTTTCTGGGTTTCACTCCACTGAGGGCCTGTATACAACTGCAAGGTGAAGTGTAGGGTTCTGGTCATTTGGACATCATTTCCACTGCCCTCAAAGGGGGTAACACTCTCGCCAGTAGATGAATGTAAAAAGTCTCTCTTAAATAAACTCACTCTCTAGGCCCTGCAGGCTGAGGCTGGGCCTGGGTGGGGTCTGGCTAACAGGAGTGTCCTGAAATGTCCGAGTCTAGCCCTTCCCATCTGGGGAATCCAGAGGTGAAGCCCTGGCGGGACTTTGTCCATCGTGTGGACAGACGCTTTCCCCGGGGGACCTCAGACACGAACTGTGAGAAGAACTGGCATCCTATCTGGTGGGAACAAGGAATCCTCAGCCTGGAGGCCTCCTGAGCCCTGGGAGCCGACTCCTAAATTCACAGGAGAAAAGAACTATGCTTAGAAGGTGGCATCCCGGTTTCCAGCCCCATGCTTTATGGGCCAGTGTTCACTCTCCCACTTCTAAGGACCTTCTGGGTTTAAGGGTCATCATGACTTGGGCACTTCATCTGGTTTCCTGAGGCCTGTCGCTCCCAGAGGGGCGAGGGCGGAACACTGATCTGTCATGAGTGTAGCCCTAGCTCCCGGCCTCGATGGCTTGCCTGCCTCTGGCCGGGACAGATAAGAGGAACGGAGTTAGTGGAATCTAACTCACAGGCTGGAAGCCAGGAAGTCAAAGACACATCCACCAGCACCGGGGCCTGAAGTGGGGTTTCCAATAGCAGCAAATTCCTCCTTGGCTAATGAATAGGACAGAGGAGAGGCAGGGGAGAGGATAAAACATTAGGTTCCTGAGTTTTATTGCAATACGTAAAATAGTAATTATAGCAATGATAACGATGCAGCATGTTTTAGCTTTAGAGAAATGGCTGTAGGAGTCTGGATTACAAATCCTGACAATCCCTAATGCACTAATCATAAGCGTCTTTTAGAATAACGTATTTACAGGGAAACACGATGGCAAGGCACATTTATTTGGGAGCAGACTTAGGGGATCCTCTGCCTAGTGATTTGGTCAGTGCCAGAGGAATTTACCCAGAAAGAACTGCATGCACTTTGACCTCAGACTGTTTCAAAATATTCCAGTAGACAGAATATGTACTTTTTCCCAAACTTGGAGAAAGTCCAGAAGAAACACAGAGAATGGTCAAAGCGGTTGAAACTAGAGTCTAGAAGAGTTTTTTTAAAGAAGGAGCTGCACTTGCTTGGAGAAAAAAGAGAAGGGAAAGACAACAGCTTTGAAAGCTACGAGGAGCTGTTACTCACAGTAATCCATTCATCCATTTATTCATTCACTCAAAGAGCCGTGCGGTGGCCCAGGACCGGGTGGACATGCGGGAGGACAGAAACAGAGGCACACAAAACAAAGCCCTGGCTTCGAGAATCTCCTCTCCATTGCCTCCACCCAGAATTGAACAGCGTCAAGTGCAGAGACAGACACGAGTAGGGAATAAGTACGAAGTGAAGGGACGTGAGAAACTGAGACACTCGCCAAGGCCAAGGTACCAGCGGAAACAAACGCATCTCCACTCGCTATTTGTTTATGAGAACAACTGCTGGTTAAATGGTGAAGTGATTTTCAGGGCTGATTGGGAGAACTTCCACCAGGAAAAAAAGAAAAAAATGATGATAGCTTTAATTTCGTATTTTGGTGTATTCTGTTATATAGGCCCCCCGTAGCCAGTGCAAAGCACAACTGTTGTGCAGCTTCCATTATGCTTTTCCTCTCTACTGAATGATTCATAGTAGGGACTGTCCAGGCCACAGAAATAGCAGAACATGCGACAGCCAACGGTGGCATCTTTTCTCACCACGCTGAAGCCGACAGAAAGCCCACTGGCAAAGCTACCAAGAAAACACGCAGGTGTGAATTCATGGTAGTCGGCTGTGTTAAGTCTTGGTCTCTTACACCACAGGTTCTTGGAATTTCCCATCTTAGATCAACTGAGATTTATCACCATTTAGGACAAATAAAGTTGTGAGTTTATCCCATTAACAGGGATGACTTTTTCCTATCTTTATGTAAATAACACAAACAAGTTAGAGAATCCACCAGGATAGGGTGTTTGTTTGTTTTTTAACATGAATTTTCTGGCTTAACTCTCTAACCATTCAAATAGGAGATTTCAAACTTTTCTAGCCATTCTTAAATCCAGTTTAAAAACTTATAAGAAACCAAGACAACAGAAGGAAAATTTTATAACTGAGGAATGTGCTCTCTAGCCATTATTTTCAGTGTTCATGGATCACTGTGAAAATTTAAATGAGTATTTTAAAAATGCTCAAAATTGACTTCTATGGGTCTCAGCCACATGCAAACTCCCTGTACCTGAAAAAGTCCTTCTTACCTTTGTTCTTTTTTTTTGCTAATTATATATATTATTTTAAAATGGATAGGCCATTTTAAAGAAATCATATGCTTTTAAGCAATCTGTAACCAATCCATTAAGTAATGCATTCTGAGAAAATTTCTGCATTATACAAACTACATCAATTGCTACTAAAAATAATGCTGACACTTTAGTGACAACTGTGAAATTCTTTCATTGCAATCTGCCTCGTTCCTCCCTCATCCTGAACCAGCATCTCAGAGCCCAAGTACCTGTGCAGAGCTTACCTGTCTCACTTCCAATCAAAGGCTGATTTGCAAAATGCTTTACAAAATCCTTCAAAGATGCAAATTCATTGAAGCCGAATTTAAATGAATATCCAGTGTATTCGACGTGAAAGTGTTTCACAGAGTCTTTGGCTCTGAAAGAGAAAAAGAAGTGTTTACTGTTATTTAGCAAATGGATATCTTCTGTGAAGGGAAATAAGATCTTAGCTATTGGCATCACCATGAACCCTGTGTAGGAACTGAGAATCATGCAGCCATTGAGATCATGGGTTCTATAGAGAACCACTAGTTTCTTGTGGCAGAGTCTTGCTCTAATGGAAGAAACGAGACAATTCTTCCTACCTACTCTTAGACTCACTGAAAGCATCCTTGAACATTACCCTCTGCAGGGAAATGAGCTTAAGAAGGGCAGAGAATGGAAATGACAGACATGGCATGTAACGCCCTAACCTCAAATCCTCCTCTGTCCTTGGCCCTTATTTGTTTGGGAGTCAGTCAGAATTCGGCTTCTGTCGCTTAATCAGCTACATGAACCCAGATCATTTCCTCCCATGCATGTCCCACTGTCTTCCGAATAAAATATCAAATTTCCTACATGGTCATTTTCCAAATGCATCAGAGAATTAAATAATAGATATGTCTGTACATGTATATCCATTTTATTTCTCCTCATTCTATCTTCTAGCCTCCCCTCCCACTCTTCCTCGCCATGCAGCCCATGCTCCAACTGCAGTGTGACCGGAATCACCGGGGGTGGGGGGCTTGTTAAAACCCAGAGTGCTGCCTCCCCACTCCAGATTCAGATTGCGTGGGTGCAGGGCGGGCCCGAGAATCTGCATTCCTCCCGTGCTCTCAGGTGCCGCTGCTGGTCTGGGCGAGCCACACCCTCAGAACTGCCGCTCTGGCCACCTGGACCTGCTGCTCTTCTTCAAGGAGCCTTCGCCTCTGTCCCTGGGCTCACACTGTTCCTTCCGCCTGAGTCATTCATTCTTAGTTCAAATGCCATCCCACTAATGGATGGAGAAGGGCCCTTTTTCGTGCTCTGGGCATTCCGAGTTTGGAGTCCTCTGACCTGGTGGCCCGACAGGCATCAGGGAGTTTGTCATCTGGCAATTTGGGGGGTGACAGAGTCAGTAAGTGACAGATGGGCCCATGCTGAATTCAGCGAGCGGGTCCCAAGCGCCCTACCTCACGGAGAGCGAGTACAGCCCGGTGGTGTCGTTGCTGTCCCTCAGAAGGTAGCTGCCGTCACACCCATTGGACAGGAGCAGGGCCTCGGCCGCGTGGCGCGTCAGGTTGCCATGGTACCACCTGGAAAGGAGAGGACTGCGCTGTCACTCAGGGCAGACCACGGGGGCGACTCCTGCCCTGGCTTTTCCTCACAAAGAAGGTGACCCAGCAACACATCCGCCGTGAGCAGCCCGGGGACAAGTTCTCAGCCCGAACGTCAGGACCAGGACGCGTCTGGGAGAGGCCAAGGGTGAGCGGAGAGGGGGCGACAGCAGCCGGCTGCGGGCTGAACCGTGTCCTGAAAACTCAGTCCTACCCCTGCTCCCCCACTCCCTGCACCTCAGAAAGTGGCCTTATTTGGAGAAAGAGTCTGTGCCAAGTTAAAGCGAGGTCATTAGCGTGGGCCCTAATCCAATGCGCCACTGTCCTCTTGCAAAAAGGGGAATTAGGCGGCAGACTCCCATGCAGGGACAGCACACGAGCACGAAGACAGTCCCTTCCAGCTGGGGAGAGGGGCCCGCGGCAGACCTCCCTCGGGGCCTCACAGGGCACCAATCCTGTCAGCGCCTGGTTTCGAACTTGCAGCCCCAGAGCTATGAGACGGTAGGCGTCTGCTGTTTGGGCCGCACAGTCCAAGGTGCTTCATCAGGGCAGCTCTAGCAAGCTAACGCAGCGCGGTGCTTTGCAACCAGAAGTTTTAAGAAAGTCCAAGTTAAAATAAGTATAAAATAGGCTTTGGCCAATTTTCTGTGCTTTGTGTGAGAGTCTCTGTCTCACATTGTTTTGGCAGTGTGGCAACATTTCTTGGGGAAACCATGGAGCTATTATTCCAGCGTCTATTGTCACGAGTGAAACAAAGCTGGACACGGGAATCCGGACGCCTCACAGTGTGACGTCCTGTCAAGTGTCGTTTCCATCTGACAAATATCTAAGGAGCTGGGGAAGTCCCAAGGAGATTCAAATTGTTCTTTGTGTTAAAAAAAAATGATATTTATGTTTTAGAAAAGGTAATATATATCTATGGTAAAAAAAAAAAAATTCGAGTAGCCCACAAGGAGACACAGTGAAAGTAAAGCCTTTTTGTCACCCCTGACCCTCAGTGCAGCGTTCCCGTCCCCAGAGCACACCCTATTACCCGTCTTCCCGTGTGTCCTCCTAAGAGACCGTCTGTGCACCTAGGGCACGAAGGTGTGTCCCCCACTCCAGACTCTACGGAAACAAGAGCATGCCGGGCCCACTGCTCTGCACCTTGTTTCTTTCCCCTATGACAGCTCTTTCCCATTCTTTTAAGTGACATCCTCGAGGCAGTTCAGTGTGATGACTGGGACTGTCCCCCGGGAATCACTTTGCCTGGGTCCCCATCCAGGTGACACCTCCCACTACCTGTGCAACCTGGGACAAGTCACTAAACCAACGTGAGCCTCCTCACGTCTAAAACAGTTGTACCTCGTTTGCCAATCGTGATTCCTGCACACGTCGACGCAGGTGGAGTGGCCCAATAGCAAGCAGGACAAACGGCAGTGCTGAGCGCACGTGAGTGACAGTCAGGAAGTCACTGAGACCCGCAAAGCCATACCTGGCCATTTACCCTCTGTGGCATGATGTTCTTGTTGCTCAAATATCATTTTCAAATGCTTTTTATTTAGATTGGATAAGACAGAGCTACAAACCAGAGGCCGCTGCTCACTGCTAAGGCCCCATAATCCAGGGCAGAGGGGATAAAGGACAGACAGGCAGTTATTTGAATGATGTCCATTTGGTGAACTAAGTGCTGTCAGAGAGGGGTGTACAGCACACAAGAACTTCAAGGGAAAGCCCTACCCTGGCAGTAAGGAATCGTGTTGTCACAAGCCACACTGGTGTCATCCCTGCACACAGTGACATCCCTGCACCACAAACATTTTAGCCTGAGTAATAAAGAGTAATAAATATAAGCACATCTGTGGAAGGAAGTGTCTACACAGAGCTCCAAGATATCTTTTTTCTAAATCTTCATTTCCTAATGCATGTTTCTTTAGCATATTTCCTCTTTTAGGCAGAGGTGACTCCACCCTGTATTAGAAATGTCTGTTGGGGTGAAAACAATGCATGAAAAACATTTTACAAGAAGACCCACTGAGTTATTTATCCAGAGCAGCCTTATTCATTGAACTTGTCTGTTTCTCAGACAAGTTCAAATTTGTTCACTACAAAATACTTTCAAAGGACAATTGGAAGAATTACAAGTGAAGCCATAATGAACTTCAGGTTTAGCTAAAACCAAAATTCTAATTCTTTTTGATAGATGAAATCTCTACAAGGTCATGAGACTTTAAATACAGATAAAATTAATTTTTATCACATGATTCCATTTGAGCCAGACCACTTATCAGAAGCAATATTTGATTCACAAAATCATGAACCAAAGGATTTGGAAATCCCTTTGGATTCTTTTCAGTGGGATCTGAAGTTTGTGTTTAAAGCATTTACAGAATTCTCTTGGTTTTTAAAAAATTTAAGAGCATTTGATTTGCTTGAATCTTTTGATATTTAATTACAGCCTGAAGACAGTTCTCACTGAGAATTTTTTGTGGTAACTTAAAAAATAACTGTATACCATAAATACATAAGGAATACTTGCATATAAAGCAAGAAGAATCCCACTGTGCTGTGGTTTAGAAAATTCTCAGAAAGTATTGATTCTGGGTGGCAGCAAGTTTTGTGTTTTGGGTTTTTATGGAGTCCAGGGCCTGAGCAAGCCTAAAAAAAATGATATCCCCATATAGCTCTTCCCAAAAACCTAAACTTCCCCTTTTCATTGAGTTCAGCATTCCTTTCCTAGAACATTTTGTTGAGTATTTCTTCCAGGGAAGAGAACATGTATCCAAATAACACTGTGTACCCTTTGTAGGAATATGTCCACTTTTGATAAGGATGGTTCGAGAATGTGTCCATAAAGAACTGCAAGTGAAAAATAGAGTCTAGTTGGTAATTGTCCCATAGTCAACCTTCTCTACCTTCCATCATGGCTTCAGACGTGTGCAAAGCATCATGCGGGGCAGGTCAAAGGGAACAAAAATGACAAAGCCCCAGACTGGGCCATGAGAACCCATTAATGCAGTCAGAAGAAGACAAGGATATTGCAAACTGTGTTCGAGAGAAAGAAAAATACCCAAGGAATGTTCTAGGAAGAAAGATCAAAACCAGGTTCCTTGTATAAGCCAATGTCTAAGTAGGCCTTGAAAGATACTTAGGTGATTTTTTTGAGTGTGTATTCCCTTTTTCTTCTTATAAAGCATATGTAGTAAAGATTAAAATATATACATGTAAAGAAGAGAAAATGAAAGTCTTTTACAGAAGAGGAAATATATATGCCAAATAAACAATCTCACTACTAGTCAGAGAACTGCAAATGAAAACAGTATGATATTTTTCTTTATCTGCCAGATTGGTTAAACTGGAAAAGTTAGACAGTGTTAATACTGGAGAATACTCAAGTGCTGGAGGAATGGACGTTATTATTCATTGTTAGGAGTATGAGTTGCAGGGACATTTAGCACATAGAGCCTAACTAAACCATACATATGACCAGTGATTCCATGTCTACTGTCTGCCTAGTGAAACGGCCACACATAAGCAGAAGGAAATGTGAACAAAAGTGCTCACTGCACCATTGTTTGTGGAGCAAAAATCTGGGGCCATTCTAGATGTCCATCAGCAGGGAGGTGATAACTAAAGCTGAGTGCTCACAGGATGAATTATGTAAAAAGTTATCCAAAAGTATTTGAAAAGGTATACATGTATTTTTGGTTGCCAAAGGCTGAGGTGCTCTTGTCATTTTGTGAGAAGGTGCCAGGAATGCTTAACATGTGACAAGAAGGAAGAATCCCGAACAACCAAGAACTGTCCTGCTCATGATGCTGACAGCCCGCCCATGAGATGCTGAAGGTATTTGTGAATGCACCTCCCAAAGTTGATAGATCCCCAAATATATTGCAAAGTTAGAACTAGTTGCAGGCACAATATGACACCACTTATTTTTAACACCCTCTCCCAAAATGCAACACATATACATTTACATATTAAGAAATGTAAAAGCATAAAATGGGTCCAAAAAATACACACCAAACTTGAAAGTATGGTTTCCTTTGCAGAAGCAACTAGGATTAAGGTTGTGTCAAAGAGACTAGCTTGATCAAATTTTCCTAATTTAGCTTGTTCTAGTGGGAAAAAAAGTAGACTCCTATTTTAATTGGGTAACTGAAATTTAATTAGAAAAACAAAAGCTCATTTCTTCCTTAATCCAACCTCCAGAGATGACTCTGTTAATATTTTGCCTTAGTCTTTCATATATTCAACTCCTGTTTATTGAGTGTTGGAACTGGCCCAGGCACTTAGGTGAAGACAGAGAGAGAGAGAGGAAGAAAAGAGAAAGACAGAGACAGACAGAGGAGAGAGACAGACAGACAGACTGACTGACTTTTCCTCTAGTATAGATCTGGTGGGGTTTGGAGTGACAGTTGTCCAGGAGACATTCCATGGGTGGAGGGGACTAACACAAGCAAAGGCCTAGAAGCAAGAGAATGCTCGGCATGTACAAGAATCAGAAAACTATGTCATCGTGCGAGTAATTCAGGGTGAGTGACAAGGACGGCAGGGGCACGAGGACAGATGGCGCTGGGGGAGACGAGGCTGCTGCAGGTGGCACCGGGCACTGCCGGCCCCTCGGCTGGCGTCTGTAGATCCTCTGTGGCTCAGTGCGCACATCCAGACAGCTCATTGCACAGAATCATAACTGCACGGACTTTAAATTTCCTGGAATCAGAACTATATTTAAAAACTTTTTACTTTGTTATTTTGATTATTAGGAGTAGGAGCCAGATCTTAATGCATCTGCAGCTTATAAAATTTGGAGGTCTCTTTAAGAAAAAATATAAAATTACAACAAAATATGAAAAGCATATTTATTTAGAATGAGAAGTTCCAAATTATAAATATCACAAACATCACACAACTGAGAAAAATGACTTGCTTTCATTAATTAACTATTTAACATGCCTCTACTTTTTCACTGTATTTTTGCTGTACAGGCTTTGATTGTC